TCATGAGTTATACGATGGAGAGATAGAGGTTGAGGATCCGCAGACAACGAAGGACGAAGCCAGCTCAGAAGTATCGAAAATTCCACCGGAGGAAGCTGGACAACGTAGGATTCGGTTGATGTCTCGTTACGAGAAGGACATTAAGAATATTCGAGAGAAATTCGATCTAACCAAAAAATGGAATAGCGCTGATTTATTTATCAAATTTTTCCGTTACTATGTCAAACAGAATCGCGAGATCGTCATTCAAATCACTCAATCCGAGGCGATGTCGAGAGATGCGAATCGTTGGAATAAGAAGATTCTTCATGTTGTCGACCCATTCCGTGGTGATAATGTTCTATCGATACCGAAAGTGTCCACCTGGCAGCCATTCTACTTCAATTGCCTATTGACGACATTCCTAGCCTTCGCCATTCCGAGAACTGAAAATGGACCATTGGTGGAAGTAGGACTTCTTCATAATGTTAGTTTTTTTGGAAAAAATGGGATTGGGGTTGCAGAAAATCGAAAATCATATGAGCTTCATGTGAGGAATACAGTGGCCTAACTTCCTCCACATTATTTTTCTAGGCCACTGTAGCTAATAAAGCAGAAATATTTCTGGTGGGTTTTCTAGGTAAATTTAACATGATGGCCTAACATTTGCAAGCTGAGTTTTCTAGGCCACCAACGTGTATGACCTAGAAATGACCTAATTTTCGCCTGGTGAGTTTTCTAGGCTGTTTTCACTGGTGGCCCAAATTTCGCATGTTGAGTATTCTAGGCCATCGTGGTGAATAGACTAGAAAACTCACCAGACGAATATCAGATCATTTCTACGGTATTTATGATGGTGGCCTAGAAAAATCAACGTGCGAATGTTAGGCCACACTGTTAAATGACCCGGCAAACCTCTAGGTGGATATTACATGATTTCTAGGCCATGAAAGTTGGTGGTCTAGAAAACTCAGCTTGCGAAAGTTTTTGAAAATGACCTAGAAAACAAATCAGGTGTAAATTGAAGGAAAATAGAAAATTAAACGAAATGTGAGTCAGGGAACTACATAATTATTTCGACGAAAACGAGATTTTTGGACTCCTTACCCTATGTGAAAAATTATGTCAAATAAAAAATTTTGAAAGTGTACTGATTAGCCAGACATTTCGTCTGTTGATCCCTTTCGCCACATCTCAGTACGTGAAAGGGAATCTGGTTTTTACCGGGAAAAAACCTGACGAAAAACCACTGGCACCAGGGAATCTTGCGAAACCACTGACATCAGGATATATGGGGATATATCACTGGCATCAGGATATGGGGGGGGGGGGAGGCATATCACTGGCATCAGGGAGTTTTGCGACACCCTGGGCGAAGAGGAAGGGAGGGAGAAAAAGGAAGAAAAAAAAATGAAAACTGAGTATTTGAGCCCTCATCTAGGAACATCCTCATCTTGACCTACATGCGTCTTCACTTAAAGGGC